TCTCTCTCTCTATTACGTATCGAACCATAAAATTTCACTGAAGCTGGATGAAGTTGAGAATTTTAAAATTTTGGTGCAAGAATTAGGCATCAATAACAGTTTAGCACTTACCCATTCAAATTCCGAATAGCTAGTTCAGCAGTCTGCACGTCCAAAAACTCTATGAATCCATATCCCTTGGGTTTCCCAGTCTCTCTGTCATGAACCATTTTGATGTGAACAACATGTCCAACCTTAAAGCGCACAATATATAAACAAAATAAGCTAACAATATAACAGCGGACAAACCTTTGAGAAGATCTGCCGGATGGTATCTTCAGGCACCTCGTAGGAGATGTTCCCTACTGAAAAGATGAACTGACTGAGGCAGTTGCCAAAATAGCGTTAACGGTATAAGAAACGTCCCATATAAATGGGCATGACGAACAAAGCGCTTGCATCTCCTTTCGCATTTTTTAGCTTTATCAATGCTATGCTAGTGATGGCAAGATCAGAGAACCCAGATTACGAGATAAGTTTAGAGAATTTTGCGTTTTCTTTCCTAAACCAAGGCATTCCCAAAGAGGCCCTATCATCGCGTTTAGTATGTTGGTCAAGGGTTCTTCTCCAAATCACGACCTTGCCGAAGAGGCCCTATCACCGTGTTCAAAACACGATGATATGGCCTCTTCAGGAAGGCCCTATTTATGAAAAAACTCAAAATTTTCCATGGGTAGTGTTTGTACAGCAGAGGGACTACTCACTTGTAAACTATCTCAGTCAAAGCACCGGACCCCGGTGTTTTGACTGGGATAATTTTCGTGTCTGTGAGAGAAAGGGGGGACGACTAAAGAATGAAAAACTGCAGCACACAACATACCTGACCCATTTCATCCACTTCGCTATTGGAAAATCACTGAATTGACTAACAGCAAAGCTTAATTCAATTCATCCACTTCACTATTGGGAAAATCACTGATTATAGCGAAGTAGTTGAAGTTGGTAAATCGCAGCGCCTGGCTTAGGCCGAAATTCGCATTAAAGGCAGTGTCCGGGCACAAACTCGATTTTGAGATTTTGTGCTTACCCGGGCCTATT